TCTTGAAACAAAAATATAAATAATTATTTCTTCAAATGAAGCATTCTAATTTCATCATATTGGTATTATAATATCATCAAATCGAAGACTCCTGATAGTTTTATTCAATGCCATATTTACTTGATTCAAAGATATGAATATCAATTTTCTCAAATGAAAGGAATATAATATCTTCAACTTGATGAACTCGATGATATCAATAATTTCTTTAATTGAAGAAGTCACATTTTGATTCAATACTTTATTTACTTGATTCAAGTCTATGAATAGGTATTTCTTTGGAAGGAAATAATATGCCCTCGGAAATCAAGGGTAAGCAATCCTGTTGCCAAAACTCAGGCCTCAGTCTTCAATCATTATTGACCATGCTCACATCATTATGACAGGCCCACAACGGCGAAACGGCATTAAGCTGCGAAGTTTGAAAATTCTGGATGTTTCATCGAGTGTGTATATGTGGAAATGTCTTAGAATATAAATATCTAACAAATGCAGAACTTGTAGAGAGCTGGTGAAGGTATAACATTGAATTCCCTTGGTAAGTAGGTACCTTTCCAAATATCGATAGTCATTGTGAGTGAATCAACAATTTTTCAATCAAAATAACAGGGATTTACTAGTATCCTGCTATGAAAATATGCCTATTGATTCATTCGAATTTTTTTTTGTAGCAAAATGACGACTGGTTGATGAATGAAGAAGTATTATCTACAAATGACTTGCAAAGACTCGAGAAGACCTTGACATTAGGTGAGAGAAAGTTTCCTGCCGAGTATCTCGAATCTATATACCCGATATCTTCCAGAAGGCATGATATTACTGGAATCACGATATTACATATTATAGAGGTGAGTTTTTAATCAATCATAATACTTATGTCATTGTTTGTAACCGTTGTCATTTCCAGCGAAACTTCAAGAAGACGAAATCAAGGCATGTGATTATTCTATAACCATTTGAGGTCTTGATGGACAATACTGATCCAAGATGTACATACCTATACATGGGATTATTGTCAACTAAAGGAACAATATATATATTTCTTCACGAATATTCTGTGGAGTTTAGTTATCTCATTGAGAATCATTCACAGTTTTGAATCAAAAACATTATTATATTTTTATCCAAGCAGTCAATATTTTGATACAAGAAAATAGTTCCATTGGAGAGGATGAGCTCAGTATTCATTATAAAAAAACTTATAAATTCGGATCGAAAATATCAATGTGTTCATTGAAAATTTACGGAATTTTGACTTGAATAAATCGTTCATTTTGAAATGAAATAGAACAATTCTCAATAATAGTAATCCATAGGTGCAAATTGAGAAAATGATTGTTTTCATTTGGTGGATGGATTCCATATCTCGAAATTATGGTTTTCTTGAAATAAGTAAATGATTTTGTCAATATGAATTATTTCAATTCTCACTTCAACATAACAAACGTCTCCATCCATGCATATCTTGATTTTCCTACAAGAGAGTTGTTGAATAAATCATTGTTTCGGAACAAGAATATCATCTCTTTCGTTATATACAAACAAATTATTTTCTTGGACCAATGCAGTCATGCTCAATACAAGAGATTCTTTTTTTGTGTGTTTGAACTGAATTTTGAAGTAGAAATCTTCAACCGATTGAGCAGAAATTTTGTATACACGTTCAGTTTGGATGACAATGCACGATAAGGTGTGTCACGTTATTCTCAATTCAAAATGGCGGACCATCCAAGATGGCGGAATAGCTATTTTTCATATACTTTTACAATATGGGTATCAAATGAAAAGGCTCGTTGAGAGTAACTCGAAAAATGATGTGACGTCATTCTAAATCAGGAATGGCGGACCATCCAAGATGGCGAAATGGTCATTTCAAATCAACTTCTACAATATGGGTATCAAATGAAAGGGATCGTTGAGAGTAATTCGAAAAATAATGTGACGTTATTCTGAATCCAATATGGCGAACCATCCAAGATAGCGGAATAGCTATTTTTAATATACTTCTACAATATGGGTATCAAATGTAAAGGGTCGTTGAGAGTATCTCGAAAAATGATGTGACGTCATTCTAAATCCATTATGGCGGACCATCCAAGATGGCGGAATGGTAATTTTCAATATACTTCTACAATATGGGTATCAAATGGAAAGGCTCGTTGAGAGTAAATCGAAAAATCCAGCTAGCGATAACTAAAAATTAAAAAATAAATTAAAAGTAAAAGAAAAACTTTTCGGTCAGAAGCTTTTATTTAAACGCTCTGAAAAGAAGAAAATTGAAGTTTTACGTAATTACCGATATATAAGGGAAATATTCTCACTAATACCATCCAGTGACTCTAGACTCTCTGGAGTATATCACCCGTATCGGAGACTTGAGATGATGGCACTGAATCATAGTAGACACTGTAATGTATACGTTAACAGACTCTAGTTGATTTATTCCTTTGCCAACTAGGCAGTTATTCTAGATTTGACAGAAAAAAACACCTGGAAAAATGTCAGTGACATTTGCCCTTTTTTCTATAAGTTTACCACAACCAGTCAATTTTCCTCGAAGTGTATTCCTAGCTATGACGTCATAGTCAACCATCCACACAAACTAGCTCACTGAGGTAGTACGCAGAGTAGTTGAGGCTTTTGATTGGGCACTGGATTGGGCTCTCGGAGGGTTCTTGATAGGTGCGTTTTGTTGACGCTAACCTAGTTCTATAACAGCTATTCCATGCGTTTTCTTGACATATTCCATTCCATAAATTCGCGCCAACAATTTCAAAAGTGATTCGCTCTGGTTGCCCGATATGTTCGGATCGAACAGGACGACAGCATAAGATGACAAGAAGAGAAATCGAACAAAATGGCGGTATTGAATGTTAATTTCTGAGGTTTCTGGTTTTCTGATTTTCTCACCCAACAGCTAGTGAGTGAAAATAGTGAAAATTTATATTACGAAGGTATTTATGGTATTTGTTATCAAGTTGTACAACAATTATGTCGCTGCCAGAAGGATTTTTCCATTGAGGATTGGGAGATTCAATAAAGTATCATCTTCAAAAAACTACAGTTTTTCTCCTCGTCGTTGAATCTATGCAAAGAATGCTATTACATGAGGAAAAAAGTCCAGGTTTCCAACATGAAATTTCCGTTTTTCAGAACAATCATTGTATTCTATCATTTGGGTTAATTCCGTTTTCTTGCACAACCATTCTATTCTATTCCACAGGTTATCAACAAAATGCACCTGATGTTGTTATAGTCTGAGGTTATTATGATTGATAAGAAAAAATAATTGCACTTCATGAAGAGGAAATGAATATTTGATCCATTGTGAATATGTAGGTAGCAAATTGTTCCAATTGTCTTATATTTGGAGTGGGTGAGTACCTATTTCCTATCCATGATATATTTTTGTTGAAAATGATGAATTTCCTATTCAATATAATAGTATTGTAATGATATTTCTCTTAGAGGGTCTCTAGAAACATCATCAGGAAGGCAGGAGTACAACGATCATCCTGTAATACGCATCCCAGATTATTCTTCAACATATCCCAATGATTCTCCTACATGTACCAGCATATTTCCGAACACTCAATATGTGCCACGGTGACAAATAACGTGACAGAAGATTCTAGAATGTTTTGTAAACAATCGATGGAACAATTAGAGAGAGAGGTATTGTTCTAAGAAGCTCCTAGATCAAGAAGAAGGGTACAGAAAATCATTCGAGAATGTTCGAGAAGCAAAACCTACCAAGGGATCCTATATACAGGGTGAGTCATAACTATTAGGACATAGGCTAAGGGCGGATTGTTTGGACCAAAATATGGCGATTGGACCAAACATGCCTCGATGAAATATTGATGTGAAAAGAGATACAGGGCGTTGAAGTTGAGTTTTTTCGTTTTTTTTTTTCGGTTTTTTGCTAATAACTTCACTGTATATGAAATATATTTGAAAAAGTTTCGTGATTTGGTTGCTTTCTGCCTAGATATTAGAGGTATTACAATTCATACCTTCTGGCTGCATCCCGCATTCATTCATTCATAAAATGATTGTGACGAGGCATTTCAATCGAACAAATTTTGACTATAAACTCGCATCAAAATTCATTCTCTGACATGAAATGCCATTACCAGCAACATTACATGACAGTTCAAAGCACACTCTTCATGAATGAAATAATATTTGTAATTAACTTCTGAGACTCTGAACTGTTCAATAGCGTTTTTCTCGAAAACGGATGGAAATATCGTGTTCAAACAAGTGTACCAATATTACGTAGAAATGATGTTTCAGTCATATTTTTTAATCAAAATCACAAAGTTCCGTCAAGAAAAGTAACCAGGCGTTTTCATCATCAGGAATAATTCACGTGGCTCCCCCTGTATCAAAATGTAGGATAGTACATAAAATAATATTCCCTGTATGAAATTATGCCTCTGTGGCAATTTTGATAACAATTGATGAATATACAGTGAAATTATTGGCAAAAAACGAAAATAAAAAGTCAACTTCAACGCCCTCTATCTTCTTTCACAGCAATATTCTATGATGGCATATTCAGTCATATCGCCATATTTCGGTCCAAACAATCCGCCCTTAGCCTATGTCCCAATAGTTATGACTCACCCTGTATATGGACGGCCGGACAACTGCAGTCAGACAGTCAAGCAGCGAGTGTCAGAGAGACAGTCATATACCGCGTGATATAAATCATTTTACATAAATAGTAGTTATAGGTTCGATATAAATTAGTGTTTCTTCAGTTCGAATGAATCAGTTCGAGAATAAAAAGTGTCGTGTTCGCTTCTGCACCCGAATAACGTAACAGTATCACTACTAAAACCAAACAATGAACAAAAACAGCTGATAAACTGACATCTGTCAAGCTTCACAAATAAACAGTGACGTTATAATGAAGTTACTTTGACGTCATCATGAAGTTTACCTGATTTGTCTGCTTAGCTTCGAGGAAAAATGACAAATAGGCCCCCTACCTTTCTGCCTGTCGTAGGCGTTGATGCACTCCGACGTCATGAACTGGCTGATGAGCGCCGTTTTGCCGACGCCCTGGGCACCGAGCAGAGCGACGCCGTAGCTGGCCACCTCGCCGACGCCGCGGCACGGCTCGTCGAAGACGGGCGAGGGGGTGTTTGCCCCCCCGGCGAAGGCCCCGGCCGGCGGGCACAGGCTGTTGCTGCGCGATCGCCGCCTCCTGAACGAGTCGCCTCTGTTCACGATACCTAGAAAGGACAATTCAGAGACTTAAATTTGTCTATACTAATATTACCAAAGGGGAAAGATCTGTTTGATTCGTTGGTTTGTATTGAATAGGCTCTAAAACTGACTGAGACAACTCATCCACAAATTATTTGAAAGGTATAGCGACTCATCAGCTCCCCCTCCCCCCTGGTCATATTCAGTGAGACTATCTATATAAAGGGCTCAGCCCTAGGAGATAGGCCTCTGTGACTAACACATCGCATATACACCCACATTCCTTGGCCAACATCAGCCATCTCTGCACCACGTGGAGGACCACAACATACAGAAGAAATGACTTTGAGTTTTTTGTATTTGAGATCAATTGCTAAGAGTGCATCCCAAAAACTTGGTTTTTTGTTTCAGGCCAGAAGCTATTTCACTGCCAGTCAGCTGCTTATGATCTATAAGACACAGATCCGACCTGTCCTGGAATAATGTTCCCATATTTGGAGTGCAGCACTCAAACATACCCTGAAACTGTTGGATTCTGTCCAAAAAAGGGCAATTCGTCTCGTGGGTGATGCCTCACTCACAAACTCACTCACTTCTCTGGAACACCGTAGAAAAGTTGGCGATCTTGCTCTATTTTATAGATATTTTCCTCCCTTGGCAGTCCCCGCGAGATTAACCCGTCGAGTTGAGGCTTCGCACCCCTTCGTCGTCACTTTGGAGACCTGCAAAACATCTCTTTACGAAGACTCGTTCATCCAACGAACAGCGAGGCTGTGGAATACATTGCCAAGGGAGGTGTTCTCCGAGGCATATAACCTCCAGAGATTCAAGAAGAACACCAATTCCTACCTTATTTCCCTTGGTTCTCACGATGTTCTCTGAACATTACAGGATAATCATTTACGTGGGAACCAGAACATAAAAAAAATTATACAGAAGCTGCTCTGTATTATGTATCTATGTAGTTGTATAAATGTGTTTGTAATATGTGGTGTGAAAAATTTGGAAGAGGAATAAACAACATTAATACGTCTCACGACCGCGAGGTCGTGAGTTTGATTTCCGGCGAGAGCAAGGTACCTACTGGTAGTAACAAAGGCTATACAGAACACGCAGAAAGAGATGATAGTGTGGTTGTGAGTATCAGAGAAGAAGTAGTAGTTTTTGCCCTAATTTTATATAGTATTTCATGTTTCAAGTCTCGATGAAGAAGATAAACATTTTCGAAAGCTGGACAAATTGAACGGAGAAATAACTTATATTGGACACAACGACTGCTTCCCACTAATATTCCCCCGAATATATTCAGATTACTTTATATCGATAATCGAAAAGTCAATGTATAAATAATGTGTTCTATTTTTCACGAAGGGGATTAAAGTACCTACCTATACTCTACTTTATTGAATATTGTTGGAATGTAAGTTGGGAAATCGATAGACACATTTTCCATACATGAAAATATTCATTCATCCAAGATAGCTTCTACAAATAAATAGCTGTTCGGCCAACTTCAGACGGCTGGTCTACCCATTCTTCAAAGGCGAGGCAACGTCGTCGCTTCCATATTGTCTAATATAATGCCGACTTGATTTTTGTTTGGCTAAGTTACGCTTATTCGGCGGTCTCAGAACTGCTGGCCCTGCACTTATGGGAGTCGAAAAGCTCGAAACCGGTCTGTACGTATCTAGCCTGGCCTGGCTGAATCGAAATCATTAGGCATTCGGGAACGGATCACTTGTATCAGTATTCGTTTATACGAGTCGATGCAGAGGTTTCTCGAAATCTACCATTGTTGTTCATTTCATGGACAATGTGTAGAAATGACTTTGAGCTTTCTGTATCCATTTAACGAATCTTCACTCTTCATAATATTAGTATAGACAATATCGACGACCGTCTCGTTCTGATACTTTGAATGATGATAATGAAGAAGTCTGCTTTTCGATATTCAATCGCCTGATGATGATCCGTCATCTTGTGATATGGCATTCCAAGACGTCTCAGTCATTCAAGGGGGGATTTGAACCTCGTCGCTATTCAACTGTATTAATTTGGATCTCCTGTTTGTTCAGGAATCAACTTTTCTTGGGAAAGTTTCTAGCAGGAAAATGGATAAATTCCAAAACGCATTCATTCGGCTGAAAGCTAAATCATTTCGTGAATATAAACAATGAGAAAGAGTAAAATTCACTATGATCGAGTGTCTATTATCATCTATTATTCATCATGAGAATGTGATAGGTATCAGGTGAGATATAAAATCGATGTATCTCTTATTTCAACATTTTACGAGACTTTCTCCGAATTTTCCATCGATAGCTAGTGTACTCAAATTATTTGAACGGGCATTAAAAATTTGACCTTGCGTTGAATATTGCTCATTTTATTTATATTAAAGAGTAGTCATATTCAATCTCCAAATAATTCTGTATCTAGTGCGCGAAATGCTACTTCGTTGGTCGAGGATTGCGCTCCGTTGAAAAAAATTATTGCGATAATTAAAAAAAAAAGATAAATAGGTTATTCTTGAGTTTTTCAAATAGCTATTTATTTTTTATTTTTCGGTTAGACTACAAGAGCTTCATTTTTGTTTATAAATTTTTGTGAGTACCCAATTTTGACGGAAGAATCATAATCTCCGATCCCGAAAAACCCCTAGATACTAATTTTTAATCGAATAAGATCATGATCACAAAACCCGAATGACATATTGTATACGCCATATCAAATTTCTCAATTTTGACGAAAGCATCATAATCTCCTACTTCAAAAAACCCCAGATGCCAATTTTGAATAGAATCTGATCCACCGTCCACCATATTGAATCAGTCATCTTGAACTCTCTAATTTCGACATGAGAATCGTAATCTCCAAACCCTCAAACCCCCAGGCATCGATTGACTTCAATCGGATTATAGTTACAAAACACGTTTGCCATATTGGATCTTCCATCTTCAATTCCCAAATTTTTACGAGAGAAACAAAATCTTTGACCCCGAAAACCACCAGATACAAATTTTGAGTAGATTCGGATCATGATTACAATGCTCGTCTGCGATATTGAATCCGCCATCTTGAATTTACAAATTTTGACAAAAGAATCATAATCTCCGACCTCGAAAACCCTCAGATACCAATTTTGAATCAAATCGGACCATAATTACAAAAATTGTCGGCCATTTTGGAGCTACCATTTTGTTTTGTTTTCTTTTGTTTAACAAAAATTTCACGATGTATTGCCACCAGAATCATGTACACCTGTCGAATTTCAAATTTATCGTCAGTTGAAAGTGGGTCAAAATCGAGTCCAAAGGAGTTACATACATACAAACAGGTGAAACTAATGAAACAGCTTATAAAAGAGTGTCAAAAATGTGTTGAACTGGCTAAAAAAGCCTTGATTATTGATGAACTTTCAGAAATAAATGATTTCTTGAATTTTCGCTCGATTGAGGACCATAAATGTTCAAATACAAAAATCTCACTCATAGTTTGAATGCAGTGTACGAAATATGTGTTTCGCAGACTATTGTATTTTGCACAGTATTTCGCGCATAAATTTACCACATAGAATATAATATACTGATAATGGAGGTGCTTATATTGTGTATTCATGAACAAACTTCTATTATATTGTTACCTACTTCTTATCAGTTTGGCTATCTTTAAGAAATAGCATATTACTTTCAGTTCTATACTACTATTCATTTTTCATTTTTCAGTTCGACTAACTACAAAAGCATGTTTATTCTTTATATTGTTGTTGCTGTTGACTTCCTTAGATGTTGTACTCTGTTGAAACTTCATTTAATACGAATACTTGGTGCAAGATACTACCGTCTATTTGAATGTTACTATTTTATATCATAAGAGTATACTTGGTGCAAGACACTACCCTCTCTCTGGGAGCAAAAATCGCTTATCCTGAAGATCCTGATCAGGATGATGGAACAAAACTTTTGAATTATTCTATTGTCATCGGACCTTGATAAGTGTGCGGACTTTCAAGATATACGTAGGAAGAACGAACATTTTAATATTTGGTGGAGGAACATTTTGAAATATTGGTGGCGGAACATCATTCACCATTTTATTCGAGAAAAAAAATTGCTCATCCTGAAGATCCTGATCCTGAGGATAATGACCAGAAATATGAGAGTATGCTATCGTCATCGGTCCTTGATAAGTGTGCGAAGATTCAACATATTATTCGAAAGAAAACCGAACATTTCAATATTTGGTCAAGGAACCTTTCGAACTGTTGGTGGCGGAACATCATTCACCATTAGTATCAGCAACCAAAAACTTTAATTTAATTATTGACTCTAATTTGAAATTCTCGGAACACGTCAGCAAATCTATTCAGCGTGCTTACGGGTGTCTTAAATTGCTGTACTCAAGTCGACAATTTCTGTCTTTTGATTTAAAGAAGAAACTGTGTGATCAACTAGTTTTATCTAATTTCAACTATTGCGATATAGTATATGGTCCATGTATCGACTCCTTCGACTGTTATCGAATTCAAAAAATGCAAAATAACTGCACTAGACTGATTTGGGGCTTGCGAAGATCTGATCATATCACTGAATATATTTCATCTCTTGGCTGGCTTTGCATGAAAAAACGTCGTCTCCTACATGCCAATACTGCTTTCCATAAAATTATCAACGAGAAACGTCCATATTACCTTTATGAAAAAATAATATTTCGTCATCAATTGCATAACCTCAATATAAGGAATCTTGCTACTGTGAACATCCCACACTACTCCACCAGTAAATTTAAAGCATCTTTCTCCTACCAACTACCACTTATTTATAATGCTTTAGATGACAATGTTAAAAAACTGAATATGAAGTCATTCAGAATGAAGCTGATTCAGAATGAAGCTGAAAAATAAAATCCTTGATGAACGAAGAACACAGTCTACCTAGCTGCACAGATTACTTCTACATTCATCTAATATTTCCACAATTCAAAAAGTAGAAAAGTGAAGAGTTATATCTAAGAATAGAAATATGAT